TTTAATCCCAGCACTGAGGCTGAGGCAGGAGGATTGTTGAGAGTTCAAGGCCAGATTGAGCTACAAGACCTGTCTCAAAAAAACAACAAAAAAAGATGAAAGTAACTTATGGTGTTCATTGCAAAGTCTCTGGAGGTAGGCTGCAGGGCTCTGCCAGCCTTAGCTAAGGCTCCACTGGAAACTGTAAAACCAGGAGATTAATCTGGTGATTATTTCCTCAAGACTTATTTGTTAGGGTTGGAGTATTTAAAATTTTCATTTTCTTTTGTTGTGATTTTTTTTTAGTGGTTTTATTTTGAGTTTGGGTTTTCTGGTTTGTTTGTTTTTGTTTCTGCAGTACTGAGGTTTGAACCCAGGTCTTTTTCACTGAGCTACATCCCAACTCTTTTTAAAAATGAAAAAAAAAAAAATTTTTTTTTTAAAACAGGGGTGGTCACATTGCTAAGTTACCCAGGTGGGGCTTGAATTTTTGATCCTCCTACCTCAGCCTCAAAGAATGTTGAGGTTATAGGCAGGGGTGTCCACACCTGGCTTTTCAAGGGTTTTTTGGCAATGCTGAGTAAGGAGCAAACCCAGGCCCTCATGCATCTAGGCAAGTGCTCTACCTCTGAGCTCCATCCCTGGCCTTTGTTTTACTAGGTGGGTCAGCCCAGCTCTGTAAACATCCAAAACCACCTCAGGTCATTTCAGGCCAGTACATTTTCTCCCAACAGTTCTTTAAAATAAATGGAGAGAAGGAGTCTATACGGGAGGATCTTTGAGGATTCAGATCTGGCCTTGTGTTGCTTCATGGCATTCTGAGAAATGTGTCCTGTGATTCTGATGCATGAATATCACAGAGGGAGCTGATGCACCCTTAGATGGCCGTTATGTCACTAGGTAGCATAATCCTACAGGACTTCTCTCATACATGTCTGTCACTGACCAAAAATTATTATGTGCCAGGGATGGTGGTGCCTGTCATCCCAGCATGCAGGAGGCAGGAGGATTGGTGGTGCCAGGGTTGGTGTGCTATGTGTGGTGGTGCATGCCTGTCATCCCAGCTGAGGCCGAAGGATTGCTGAGAGTTTGAGGCCAGCCTGGGCTCCGTAGTGAGTTCAAGGCCAGCCTGAACTACATAGTGAGACCCTGCCTCAAACTCTGCCCCAATAGGTTGTTATGTGACATATGATTGTATAAAGCAATACTCTGTCTTCTAAAGTATTTTTTTGTGGATTTTTTTGTGTTTTTTTTTTTTTTTCCTTGTGTTTTTGTTTTTTTGAAACAGGGGCTCACTCTGTAGTTCAGGCTGGCCTTGAACTCACTGTGGAGCCAGGCTGGCCTCAAACTCTTGGTCATCCCCCTGCCTCAGCCTCCCGAGTGCTGGGATTACAGGTGTGTGCTGCCACGCCCAACTAAAATAATTTTTTTGTAAAATATCCTAACTGCTGACTTGGGCACATGTGGCCTTGTGGCCAGCCGAGGGATTCAGCTTGAACCAGCAGAAGCGACTTTGTCTTGAGGACTGAAAGACGGGTGGACATTGTGGGCGGATGTTAGCAGAAGGACTGACCTTGTGTGATGGGGAAAGCAGAGAGAACCTGCCGTTCCATCTCGGGGCTGAGTCTTTCCTCCTCCTTCCTGGAGGGGGGTTTCTGGTTTTGTTCTATTTTTTTGAGACAGGGTCTCGCTATATAATTTAGACTCATCTTGAACTCAGTATGTGGGTGATCTTCCTGCCTCAGCCTCCTGAATGCTGGGACTACAGGCGTGCACCATCACACCTGGCTAGGAGGGGGGATTTCTTAGTCAAGACCTGCACAGTGGGAGGGTGAGCCAGGCGATGCGGGAGGGGCAGGTGCAGGGGCCTGGAGGTAGGAAGAGGAGGATGGGGCTGGAGAGAAGAGCTTGAGGGGCCCCGGGGAGGCGAGGCTCAGTGGCCAGTGGCATCGCCACCCCCTCCCCCAGGTCCTGCAAGGAGGGGCGGAGGATCTCCCTTGAGGGCTTGGGAGCCTCGGAGGGATTCCAGCAGGGAGTCGGGGGGAGTCCCGGTGACCCCAGGTCTCCCGGCAGCTCTCCCCACCTGGTGCAGGTGCGTGAGCGGATCCGCATCAACGGGCAGCCCATCAGCCGCGAGCTCTTCACCAAGCACTTCTGGCGCCTCTACCACCAGCTGGAGAAGACGAAGGTGCGTGTGCTGCAGGGCTGGCGGGGAGGAGGGGCGGGGGGCACTGCTGGTGCCAGGACCCCACCAGTGGCTCCAGCCCAGACGCTGCGGGCCCTGATGTGCTCCTGTGCTGTAGGACGGCAGCTGTGTGTCCATGCCCTCCTACTTCCGCTTTCTCACGCTCATGGCCTTCCACGTCTTCCTCCAAGAGAAGGTGCGTAGCGTGCCCATGCCCCATCCCTCCTCTGGGGATGGCAGCTCAGAAGGCTGGGGCTCCCGCTGCTGGATGGCACCTGGGCACCCCTTCCCTCTGCCATGCCGTCTGGCTTCCTGCAGGTGGACTTGGCAGTGGTGGAAGTTGGCATAGGTGGGGCTTACGACTGCACCAACATTGTCAGGTGAGGGCAGCTGCCTGGGGACAGGGAGGGGTCAGGAGCCAGGCCTTGCCTGCTGCCTGCTGGCTCAAGGCGAGGACACCGTGGCCCTTTTGTCATCTACAGGAAGCCTGTGGTGTGCGGAGTGACGTCTCTTGGCCTTGACCACACCAGCCTTCTGGGAGACACGGTGGAGAAGATTGCATGGCAGAAAGGAGGCATCTTTAAGGTGACCGAGCAGACTGGGGAGGGGAGGTGCACAGGAGGCCTCATGCTGGGGCAGGGCCGTGTGTGTCCTCGGGATGAGGTCCTGAGGTCCTGGTCATCAGTACAGCTAGGGGTTTTTTTGTTTGGTTTGGTTTTGTTTTTGTTCTTTGAGAGTCTTGCTGAGTAGTTCAGGATGGCCTTGAGCTCTATGTAGCCCAGGCTTCCCTTGAACTCATGGTGATCCTCCTGCCTCAGCCGTCTAAGTGCCGGGATGACAGGCATATGCCACTGTGTCTAGCCTAGTCTGGGTTTCTGCCTGTCTTTGCTCTACTGTGCGGTTGCAGCAATGTTGAATTCTTCTCTGGCCTCAGTTTCCCCACTGAAACATGAGCAATGAGAGGCTAAGGGGCAGTCCAGACTCAGGTCTGTGGGCATGGGAGAGCGGAGGGTGGAGGTCCCCTGGCTGCCCCTGCCTTACCCTTCCTGGCCTGCCCACAGCCTGGCATCCCTGCCTTTACGGTGCTGCAGCCCGAGGGCCCCCTGGCAGTGCTGAGGGAGCGCGCCCAGCAGATTTCAGTGAGTCCTGTTGCATGGGGTGCGGGAGGTGCTTTCCTGTTGGCCCTTCGCTCATCTGTGCATGGAGTGAGCTGGACCAGCCACTTGGGCCCCGGAGCCCGTCGCAGTTCTGGATCCAGGGCACAGTAGGCTCTGGAGGGCAGGCAGTGACGGGAGGGCCCCTTGGCCAAGGTGGCGGTGGCAGGTCTGCTAAGAGCCGCTGCGCACTGCCCCCAGTGCCCCCTTTACCTGTGTCCACCCCTGGAAGCCCTGGAAGAAGGGGGGCCGCCACTGACCCTGGGCCTGGAGGGCGAGCACCAGAGGTCCAACGCAGCCTTGGCGATGCAGCTGGCCCACTGCTGGCTGTGGAAGCAGGAGCACCAGGGTGAGTGGCCGCTGGAGGCAGCAGGCGGGCAGTGCGCGGGGAGCCTGCCTGGGGTCCCTGATCACACTAGGCCTTGCGTCCCACAGCCCTTGGGGAGCTGAAGACATCGGGGCTGAGTGTCCCCGGGCAGCTGCCCCTGGCCCCTGTGTTCCAGCCCACGTCCCACATGCGGCGCGGTGAGTAGCACCTGCCCAGCCGGGACTGCCCCTCCTCTCCAGGGTTTCCTTTGGTTTCCTGAGGGGGACACGGGGGCGATTCAAGGTGGTGCCTAAGAGTCACCACCTCTCCCTGACCTTGACTTCTGGAATCTGTTCAAGCCCACCTCATATGCCCAATGAGATGATGAGGGACCCACTGCCAAGGGCTGCTGTAGGGTCCCTGGAGGATGTGGGGTGTAGGGCCCCACCTGTGAGCACGGCCATTCTGTCATTGTCACTGGAGGTGGTGATGCTGCCACGTGATTCGTACTCCCCTAAAGCCCTGCGCATCGGACGTGCTGGCGCTGTGAGGCCCTTCAGCAGATGGTCTCCCTGTGCCCCGCTGTGCCAAGCTGCTATAGAGCAGCTGTAAAGTCAGGGCTCAGGGGCTGTCACATGGGACAGGGTGGCCTGGAGGATTCTACTGGCGAGGTTACCGAGCTGTGATCAGCTCCGATCAGTTCCACTCGTGGTGACTGGGCCGATGTGATTCTCAGAGCGGTGGCCTGCCCGGCCGGCAGGCTCTGGGGTTGTGCAGGGTGGAGGGCTGGGCCAGAGAGGATGCCCCAGCACTGCCTTGCCCACTCCCACCAGGGCTTCAGGACACGGAATGGCTGGGCCGGACGCAGGTGCTGCGGCGTGGGCCCCTCACCTGGTACCTGGACGGTGCGCACACCACCAGCAGCGTGCAGGCCTGCGTGCGCTGGTTCTGCCAGGCGCTGCAGCGCAACCAGAGGCCCCTCAGGTGTGCATCAGGTGGGGGTAGAGCCTGGAGGGGGGGCCCTACCGGGAAGAACAGGGCTTGGGGCAGCCAGAGTGGCCCAGTGGGGAGGGCAGTGCCCCTCTGACCCCCTTCTTTGTCCCCTGGTACAGTGGGCCGCAGGTGCGGGTCTTGCTCTTCAACTCCACTGGGGACAGGGACCCTGCAGCCCTGCTGAAGCTGTTACAGGTGAGGCCCCAGCGGGGCGGAGAGTTGGCAGGCAGTGCGGCAGGGCAGCCCAGGTCCTGGCTGTGTGGTCCTGAATGGTGCGGGGAATTACATGTAAGGCAGCGGGCACGTGGGGCAGCTTGCTCATGTATAGGCCATGGGCACGTTCTCGGGTTAGGGGGGCCGCATAGTGGGTGAGGGTGCAGGCTCTAGGCCTGTGTAGCCTTTAACCTCTGTCCCACAGTGGGACAAGAGATGGCCTTTTCCTGAGCCTTGGCTTGCCACTCCATGAGAGGGGTCGCCCTTACGGCTACCTGCTTCAGTCTTGGCTTGAGGAGTTACCGGGCTTTAAGGCACAGAGAGGTGCTTTACAGAGTGGGGAAACTGAGGCTGCTGCAGGATGGAGGGAGGAAGTAGCTCCTGGAGATCGTCTCCTGTTTCACAGGCCAGGAAGCCGAGGCTGTTCGTACCAGATCCTGTCCCTGTGCAGGCTTTCTTTCCCCAGTGTGGGTTTGGGGTCACCCTCAGCTGGGTGACCTTAAGCGAGTGCACCTCTGCCCCTAGCCTCCTGTCCCCAGTCTGTACACAGGCTGTGCCTTTGCCCCCAGGACATAGGCCAGGCAGGGTGCACTGAGGCAGGAGCGGGGACTACAGCATTGCTGTAGCCAGGGAGGGGCTGTGGGGCATTCGGAAGTCAGGGTGCGGGGCATCCTCCGAGGCATCTGACCCCGAGTCCTTGGCCTTCCAGCCCTGCCAGTTTGACTATGCTGTCTTCTGCCCTAACCTCACGGAAGTGTCATCCCCAGGCAGTGCAGGTGAGTAGGACAGGTGTGGCCTGTGGGGGTCGGCAGGGGGCTGAGGGGCCTGCGGTGGACGCTCTGGTGATGTGATGGGGTGCTTCCAAACTGCGGCTCTGGCCTAGGAGGCTGAGTGGTTTTATTATACAAATACTCTTCTGTACGTTTTGAAATTTGTACTAGGTAGGTACAGTAGTGAAAAAGAATTTTAAAAAATAGGGTTATTGAAATGAATTTTGTGAGGTTTGACCAGCACTTACTTTAAATGAAAGAGAGTGGATCTGACATGGTAAGGCACGCCTGTAATCTCAGCACTCGGGGAGGCTGAGGCAGGAGGATCAACAAGTTTGACTCCAACCTGGGTAGCTAGTGACTAAGCAATACCCTATCTCAAAATAAAAAATAAGAAAGGAGCTGGCGATGTAGCTCAGTTAGTGCCTTTGGTTAAATTTCTACTACTGCAAAAAAAAAAAAAAAAAAAAAGTACAGTAGAATAGGAAATACCAGTGTGCATTGCACAAAGTAAGGGTAGGTACTGTTTGCTGATGATTCTGTTCCAGAATATATATGTGATGGGCTGTAATGTAAAATTTATACTGTGTATCATGTTGGAAAAAAGTTTGAGATAGTTGATGGGGCTGGGGGTCTGTACTTTTAACACTCTCTGGGGAGAGTTCTAGAATGAATATATATGTACATGTGATTTTTTGGAGACAGGGTCTCACTGTGTAGTTCAGGCTGGCCTTGACCTCATGACGTGGTCCAGGTTGGGCTTGACCTTGCGGTGATCCTCCTGCCTCAGCCTCCTGAGTGCTGGGATTATAGGTGTGCGCCACCATGCCCAGCTGTAGTCTATTTTTCATCAGCCTCTCAGAAATAAGAAGGCCACCTGGATGCCCGGCTCACAGCTGAGGACGGTGAGGTCTGGCTGTGCCTCCCAGACCTCGGGAAAGCAGTTGAACTTGTCCGAGCCTCAGTTTCCTCACTGTGTCCGATGTGGGGCCCTGTGGCAGAGGCCGACGGCGCCATGTGTGGACGGGCCTGGCGCACCAGCCCTTCTTGCTTGTCCCCTGCCCCTGTGGTTGACCTGTCTATCCTTGCACCCTGAAGACCAGCAGAACTTCACGGTGACGCTGGACCAGGTGCTGATCCGCTGCCTGGAGCACAAGCAGCACTGGAGCCGCCTGGCCGAGGAGCAGGCCAGCCCTGCCCTCTGGAGCCCCCCGCAGCCTGGTGGGACTGCGCCCCTGCTGCTGGCGCCCCGCTCGCCCCACCCCTGCAGTGCCAGCTCCCTCGTCTTCAGCTGTGTCTCGCATGCCTTACAGTGGATCAGCCAAGGCCGGGACCCCATCTTCCAACCACCTAGCCCCCTAAGGGGCCTCCTTGCCCACCCCACAGCAAGCGGCGGGGCTGGCATCCTCCAGGAGGCTGGTGCCATCCACGTGTTGGTCACTGGCAGCCTGCACCTGGTGGGCAGCGTCCTCAAGCTGCTGGAGCCCTCCCTGTCCCAGTAGCTGTGGCCACAGGTGGGGTGGGAGGGGGAGCCCCCCGCACCTGCCCTGCCTTCTCACCATGAACTCACGCCAGGTGCCTTTCGGTTTCTGCTTTCTGAGTCTGCCGGGCTCTGGCGTGGAGTGGGGTGGAGGAGGGCCCCCCTCTCTGAGCCCCGCCACCCTCTCTGAGCCCTGTGCCTTGGCCTTGCCTTCCTCCCCACCCAGACAGTGAGGGCTTCCCTGGCCCGGCCCGTGTCCCCCACCGCCCCAGCCCAGCTGGTCTGTGAGCTGCCCGGCTGCGCTCGGGGTCCTGCGGTATGCTGGTGGTAGATTTCCTCCTCCAGCGCCTCCTGGGAAAGGAGAGGGTCTCTGCCTGGGGCACCCTGGGGACCGCATAGCTGCAGTGAATTAAAGCCTTTTGATTTTATTTTTAATGAAGTGGCAAAACCTTTGATTGTCATCCCTGCTCACCCATCAGACAGCGAAGGCTTGGGGTACAGGACATCTGGAAACTGCGGGAAGTCTAGGAGCTGGCACGGGCAGAGCGAGCCCTGGCTGTGGCCGGTCCAGGCCCCTGCCGCAGAGCCTCAGGTAGCCCAGCTGTGACGTGAGGGGACGGCCCAGGGCTGTTGGCTGCACACCGTGCACTACTTCGCAGACCTTGCTGAAACCAAGAATCAGACCACTGCAGGACCCGTAGCTGGCTGCGAGAAGCCACAGGAGCTGGTCACAGCCTGTAAGTGGCAGGTCGTGGGTGGGGACCAGAGCTGTTGGAGCCCTGTTTTAAACCTCCGTGCCAGTGTGGACAGGGCCTCCTGGTGTTTGGTTTGTCATAGCCTTGGCCCCAGGGCGTCCTGCCGAGTAAGCGAGCAGTAGGAGTCATTTAATCCAAACGTGCTGTCCCCCGGCCACCTGATGTTTAAGATGTCACACCTCCTGAGGTCACATGTGCGAGCGGTGCTCTTCTGTGCCCCCCGAGAGCCCCCTTCACGCAGCCCAGCTCGCCCTGGTTTCATGTCGGATTTATTGACCGTGGACATAAAGGGGTGGGCCCAGGACGAGGGGCCTGGCCACTCCCCACCTGATGGGCCAGGAATGTGGCCCTTGGGGCTCCCAGGCCAGGTACCCATCAGCTTCGTGTTCCCCATCAAAGTCATGCCAGTGCAGGCGTGGAGGCCTCAGGGACCAGCTCCAGGTGGCTCTGGGCCAGGCCCTCGTCCTCCCGGATGGTGACGGCTGCCGAGTCCTCGGGTTCACACCTGGTCGGCGCGGCTCCCCAGCACTTGTTCTGGGTTCGAAGGGCAGGGCCCCTAGTGTCTATAGCGACGTGAATGCACAGGACAGCGGTCTATGTGGTCCTAGGCAGCCGTGTCCTACAGGCCCTGGGTTTAGAGGTTCTGTGCAAGGGGGCGGGGACCCCCGAGTTCCAGGCTGGTGCCCCCACTGGCAGCTGGCCCCTGAGCGGCAGGCAGGAGGGGCGGGTGCAGAGGGTGTGCTCCGTCCAGGATGGCGGCGGCAAGGCACTGGGGTCCTGGGGCGAGCTCCTGGCCAGTGGTTCCCAGCTGGTGGCTGCATAGCATCTCCTGCTGGGCGAGGGCTGGCTGGGGCCCCTGGGGCTCCGGACCAGGCGCTATGCCATGCTGCTGGTAGAGCAGGGGGTGCTCTGGGTGCTCCCGATGCTGTGGTTTGTGCTGCTGCTCTCAGAGGAGGCGGGGGCAGCCACTGCCACCACGGGCTCCTGCTTGCCAGGGGGGCCTGCGGGCGGGGTCAGGGGCAGAGGTCAGGGCCCCGGCTAGGGGGCGGGGGTTCCCCAGCCCCTCAGAGGCTTTGCCAGGCTCCCCCAGTGGCAGCAGGGATCCTGAGCGCTCACTGTGGGGGCCTGGGTACTCACGCGTGTGGGAGTAGATGAACCACAGTGCGGCGGTGAGCAGGGCCCCGATGAGGAAGGCGCCAAAGGTGATGCCCAGCACGGCGGGCAGGACGAGGCCTTTACCTGTGCCACCCAGGGAAAGCGGGCATCAGTGCTGCTGCCCCGCCCCAGCCCAGCCCAGCCCTGCCCCTACCCTGTCGGGCTGGCCAGGAGCAAGGATTTTATTTAGTTGTTTTAAATTGCGGTTTTGCAAGACAGGGGCTTGCTACATAGTTCAGGCCGGCCTTGAACTCCCTATGTAGCCCAGGCTGGCCTCGAACTCACAATGATCCTCCTGCCTCAGCCTCCCAAGTGCTAGGATGACAGGCGTGCACCACCACGCCCAGCGAGACCTCCTGTTTCTGCCCCCAAGTTCAGAGACTCTATTACGTGGGGGCCTGGGCCTAGGGGAGGTCATGAAGGGGCCAGGGGGTGGAAGGCATCCTCCACGTAGGGGCCTCAAAGAACACAAGGCCACCATTGTGCCCTATGCTCCATCCAACAGGCCTTGCCTCCCAGCAGGGTCAAGCAGCCACCAGCCGGGTGGGGAAGAAAGCCGGACAGGGAGCCCAGGCCTGCGATGCTGCCGCCTCGTGGTCAGAGAGGGAGTCTTCTCCCCTGCTGTGCAGGGCCGTCCACTCCTCCCTCCCAGAGGGCACTGGGGGAACTCACCAGACAGGTCGGAGCTGACGAGGTTCACACGCATGGAGACGGACCTTTGCACTTTCTGGAGGGGAAGAGAGCAAGCGGAGTGTGGCACAGCCTAGGAGGTGGCATCCCAGTCTCCCTGGCTCAGGCCCTGGCCTGGAGCCTCGGGTATGGGTCCCAACCCACCACTCTCTAGCTGGGAACTGTGGGGACACGTCCCGGGGGACCTCGCTGTGGGACAGCATCCTCGGACAGTCTTCGGCTGCTGCGGGGTTTCCTGTGAGTTCCAGGAGGCCGTGAGCACCATCAGCCTTGTGCAAGTGTGCCCAGAGACAGGTCAGCCTCGACGCCCAGCCTGAAGGCAGAGGCCACTTCGAGGGGCCCCACAGGCTTCCCTAGCTTTATACACCCAGAGGGAGGTTATGGATCCTCAGGACCTTTCTGTGTGCAGAGACCCGGATGGCCCTATCAGTGTGTCCAGCACCAAGGGCCTGAGAATGGACATTCACTGCACAGTAAAGCTTTGACACCAGCAAATACAGAAAATCAGGATTTTCTGTTCCTCTTCCCTCAAGCCCCCTGTTCATTGAGGTGACATTCGAGATCAGACCACACGGTAGGTGGGTAGGTGCCTGGGTGGATGAGTGGGTGGGATGGTGGAAGGACCGATGGATGCATGCGTGGATGAAGGATGCATGCATGGATGAAGGATGCATGGGTGGTTGGATGATGCATGGGTGGATGGATGATGGGTAGATGAATGCATGGATGTTTATGACAATTCCACCAGAAGGCTGCAGATGGCAGCAAGCGCGCCCCTTGCCAGCTGGTCCCCCTTCTCCTGGGCTGCCAGTTTTTCTGCCTGCAAACTCCAGACCCAGGAGCCAACCGCAAAGCCAGGGCAGGCCTAGGGCGCCCTCACCTGGGGCAGGTTCTTGGCTGTCAGGGTCACAGTGCAGCTGAGGGTGCCGGCCGTGGGGACGGGCACCCTGTAGACACGGAGAAGGAAGCTGAAGCGTGCGGCACCATCAGGGCCGGGGGGCAGCAGGCTCACACAGCTGCTCTTGGCCGCCTGGCCTTGGATGAGTTCCACAGTGTCCGCCTCAGGCCCCAAGTCCAGGTGACAGCTTTCTAGCAGGAACGTGACGTCAGGAGTGGATGGGGCCATGGTCACCTGTATAGGGAGGCGGGGGGACCAGGCATGGGGCGGCTACTCTTGAGCCTGGCCCTTGGCTCGTTTGGGCTAGAGGAGAGTTCCCCACTCAGTGGAAAGACAGGAGGGGCCCGCCTGGAACACACAGGTAGAGAGGACGACATTCTTTTCAGTGTCTCTGAGCAGTGCCGTCCCTGTCCATCCCTCCCCATCCCTCCCCCATGCATCCAGGCTGAAAAGTTGTTTCGTTCTGAGACACGGTCTCCCTGTGTAATTCAGACCGGCCTTGAACTCACTATGTCGCTCAGGCTGGCCTCAAACTCATAGCAATCCTCCTGCATCAGCCTCCTGAGTGCTGGGATGACAGGCGTGCACCACCACGCCTGGCCCCTGTAAGTTTTATCCTCATCTTTTCTGTAGCAGTGGTGGAAGGTCAGGTGCACAAGGGGCTGCAGGAGCTGGGGGCGGCGGGGGGCGGGGGCGCTCTTACCTGCACAAAGCCCTGCTGCCCCAGCTCCATGGTGCTGGAGGCCTGGAGGAAGTGTGAGCTGAGGTAGAGGCCCAGGTGGAAGGAGAGGCCCTCCATATGGAAGCACTTAACGTTTTTCTGCAGGGGGCAGGAGGGAGGCCGTCAGCCTGGGCAGTGCCAGCCAGGAGGGGGAGGGGCCTTGCCCTCATCCTCACTTTTTTTTTTTTCTGGTACCAGGAATTGAACTCACAACCTCATGCTTGCCAGGCAGGCGCTGTGCCGCTGAGCTAAATCCCTAGCCCCCCATCCTCACCCTTTTAAAGAGCTGGTATTTATGAAGGACACAATAGTGCCTGACTTGTGGGACAGACTTTCCCTGTGACATCCTAGTGACAAGGCCAGAAGGGCAAAGTGTGTGTTAGAACCCTGTCCCTTCCCTCCTATAGAGGGTGGTGGAGGCGTGCTGAGACACATGCTTTCCAGGGCCAAGATCAGAGTTTCCTTTTTCTTTCTTTTTTTTTTTTTTGTCTTTTTGAGACAAGGTCTCTCAATGCAGTTCAGGCTGGCCTTGAATTCACAGTAATCCTCCTGCCCCAGCCTCCCAAATGCTGGGATTACAGGCATGGGCCACCACATCTGGCTTATTTAATTTTTTGAGACAGGGTCTTGCTATATATTCTAGATTGGCCTTGACCTCACTATGTAGCCCAGGCTGGCCTTAATCTCACAGCAGTCTTCCTGTCTCAGCCTCCTGTGTACTGGGATTACAGGCATACACCACCACACTTGGCCAAGGCCTGAGTTTTCTGAAGCCTGCTTCCTCCCCCCACCCAACCCCTACCCTGAGCCTGCAGCAGGTGGGTAGCATGGTACCACCCCTCTCACCCTCAGTGGCAATGACTCCGACAGGATACTGATGACCACCTGCAAGGACAGAGTCAAGGAACTGGTCAGAGCCACAAGGGACTCTAGGTGGGGCCCCACCCCACACACCCATTTGATACGTGGGAAGACTGAGGCGGCCAGTGGCCAAGCCTGTCCTGTGTCCCTACTGAGCAGAGCCTTCCTCCCCAAACACCCCTCCGCCCACAGCACCAGGGAGCAGCAGCAGGGACTGCGCTGGTCCTGACACGTTTCTGGCCTGGCGCTTACCTCATTGCTGATCGTGTGTGGTGTCATTTGCATGCCGCAGCCCGAGTAGTTGCTGCGCAAGACCAGCTGGTCATTGCTGTCCTTGGCCTGGCACGTGGGGTCCCAGAAGGTCAGGCTAGTGATGTCGCACTGCAGAGCCTGGGTCAGGGAGGGGCACCGTCAGGGCAGAAGGCTCCCTGGGCCTGTCCATCACCCTCGGCCAAGGGCTCTCTCGCCCGCATGCTCTGTCCCCTGGTGTTTGGTGCATGTGACTGCATAACCCTACACC